ACATATACATACATATACATACATATATGTATATATGAGTTTGTATGTAATGTATGAATATAATATACAAGTTTCACTTTTTAAATGGAATTACTGAAATAAATCTACTTTTTCATGATATTCTAATTTTTTGACCAGCACCTGTGTATATATATATATAGTTTTTTCCTCCAAGTCATAGAAGAAAAACTCAAGGGCTGAACTCAGTGTTTTTTGTTTTGTTTCTTTAAAGAGAAATACTTTAGTAGTTTGTACTCTCACCAGCTGTAGGCTATAAGACATGTAAATCATTACATCGGTGTGATTTAAGACAGGGTTTCAGGCTCAGATATGAATGTAAATCATCATGTTGCCTGGTTTTCCAGGTCTATCTAACAGTGCTGAAGCATGGAGACAGTGCCACCTTGGACACAATGCTGAAGGTAAGGAGCATCTGGTCCCCACGAGGCTGCATTTTCCTGAAAAATCATCCTCACCAAGTAGCACACACACACACACACACACAGATGGAGTTCTTTTAAGAAATCTGTCATCTTGCATTTGTTTAAATCGTTTCTCTGTGTCGTCCCTCAGCTCCACAAACAAGCAGACATGCAGGAGGAGAAGAATCGTATTGAGCGGGTGCTCGGTGCCATATCTGCTCCTGACCTCATCCTGAAAGTCCTCAGCTTCGCCCTCTCGGTACACAACGCTGTTAATTCTATACAGTCCAGTGGCTTTTATTACCACACCTTTCCTTAGGGAAAAGAGATGTTATTTTTTTATTTTTGTTAGATCTTTGCTTTTAACTCAGTGGAAGTTTGTCCGTGCAGATGGTGAGATGATTAGTCAACAGTGGTGGCTTCTGTTCACAGTTTGGTTCTGCTTGTTTCCACTTAATGTAATTAGTTTCTGTTCATCAAGTGTGTTCTTTGGACAAGCTTTTCCTTTTTATAACCTGTTTATTCACAGAATGTCCCAGAGGTTTCGTGTAAACACAGGATTAGAACAGTAACATTCATCAGAGGACAGACTATAATGTCATTAACCTAGTTAAAAGTTAACTTGGTTTAAAGGAACAGTGTGTAGGATTTTGTCAATTCTTTTAGCTGAAATTGAGAATATCACTAATGACAATAATAAAAATCATGTCTAATCATTGCAGACAAAGACCTTGTTTTATTATTTTTACCTTATAAAAAGCTGTTTATATCTCCATGGTCGCGGG